AGAATCGCCAGGAAGGGTTGGAACAGAATAACCTTAATAAAAACTACGGAAAAATTTAACCTCTTATCCTTTAAAAGGTCCAGTGTTAACATGCAGTCTCTCTGGTTTCCCAATCATTTCATGTAGCATTAGTTTAGTGAATATGGTCTCAAACCTCGCAATCAGTTCAAAAGAGCGTTTTTCTCAGAGCGCTGACCAATTCTCAGCTGTCAGTTAAGGTCCATCCAAAGCCTCGATCAATAGTTCATTAATGGCTGGTCACTGTAAGTGCAGAGAACATCGACTTAACCATAACACGAATTTCTGGTATACAGCGGAAAAAAACGAAAGGATTCAAAGCAGAATTCGATAAGACAAGAGTCGCGAAAATGGCGTTCAAGGCGACAGTCAAAGACGTAAGCTGAAATCTGTTGAGCAAAACCATCAGGCAGTTATATGGTAGATAACAAGCTAAAAGAAGACAATAGATCTTACACATGCTGACCACTGATCGTCGAAAACGTAACGTGTTAAAATGGGATCCAGCGGTGCCGTGAGCCACTGCGCTGCCAACGTGCTCCTCGACGCGAAAACGGTAGCGCCGCATGTGCTTGTAGATAATGAAGTAGGAAGACGTCGTTGTAACAAAACAAAGGCTGAAGAGTGCAATCCTTAAGCAATTCTGCACTTCTTTATTCCAGAACCAAAGCGCTGACCAAATCAATGACGCTAACCAGCTGGCGAAAAGAACCACGGTGACGCGTTTGATCGTAACGACCGCGCGGTAGCGGAGGCGCAAACGTAGCGCCAAGTAACGGTCGAGCGCTATGGCAGTTGACGTGACGAATGAAGCGGAGACTAAGGTGTTTCCTACGAAATACGAGCCGACACCGGAGACGCAAAAAGTGCGATAGCTTCTCGTTAAGGCCGCCAGTCTGTGAATGACGAACAGAGGTTGCGCTATGCAGCCAACACCGAGATCAGATAGCGCCAGGCTAAAGAGAAGCGCTTTGGAAGGCCCATGTAGCGAGGTACATCTGCGGAGAGCATCCATTATAAGACTGTTGCCCAGACTTGCAACAAATGACATCATAGCGTTGACCACGAAAATGACGATGTACATTGCGTCTGAGCTCTTGGCAATGATCTCGTATTGCTCCTTGAAGCCTTCACAGAAGCTAGATGTATAATTGGCCATTTTGTGAAATAGAGATCAACTGTGCGACGCTTTTTGTTCTTTGGGTTTTACTGTTTAGATTTCTTCCTCAAAACCCAAATAGAACTTCCTGGTTTTAAATCGATCGGTTTATTTTCTTTCCGTGTCAAAGAGAAGTTGTAATCAGCATCAGCTGCAATCATTTGCTGTTTTGTTTTTCAGTCAGCCGGAAAACACGATGGGCAAGCTAAATTATCAAAGAATCAGATCAACTAAGAAGTCCTGACTTCTTCTTTTCTTCATTTAATTATACTTTACTCACAAGGTAAATTCGAGTTGTTGCAGTAATTAGAAGAAAATGAAGCTTGCTTATTGGTAAATTTGATTTTTAATAACGCATATTGAAAAGGTTTAAACAAATAACTCGCTTGAGAAATTGCTCGCATTTAATTTACTCAGCAAAATTTATTGATTTAATCGTTCGAAAACAATTTTTGCTACACAGTCTTACCTGCCATTTCAGAACAAATTTGTTATGTTCAACCTTGCATCGGAAGAGCTGTTGGTAATTTTGTGTTTTCCATCGCCTTACATTGTGAATCCGCTTTCAATTATAATACAACAAAGTGAGATTATATTTCAAATGAACGAAGTTCGCATACATTTTAATTACTTGAAATTGTACAAATAGAAAGATTTTTATTGTTAAGCGTGTAAAAGCATAAAAACCAACAGCTGCATATGGTTTTTGGTAACCGACGAATTGAAATAAGTTACTTGCTCATCAATGCCTGAATAGTTCAATTTTATTACGGAACCACTAGTGCTTTCCTGGAAAATAGACAACTCGTAAAATTTATACGAAACTGCATCCGGGACCCGCGTGACATATTTTCCATTTCCTTATTAGTGCTGATAATGTTGCCGTCATTTTCCGCTTTTTCGCGGTTGTTTGCGCAAACAGTCAGCTTGTCTATATAATAAAACGAAAATTACACGGTGGCTTGAAAATATGAATTTTATTTTCTTGTGTTAAAAACAATCTTTTACTCACTCGCTGCGCTTGCTGGTAAAAAAGTTTTGTTTTTACCACTCGCAAATAAAACCATATATTCGCGCCACCGTGTCATATCCTCTATCTATTTCTCATAACGTATTAAAGTGAGATACCGATTTCTCGAGCCCCGATTTCTCGAACCTCCCGGTAACTCGAACCAAAAGTCGTTCCCTCTCCTCAGTCGAACACTGTATTTTACCCCGATTTCTCGAACTCTCCGATTTTTTGAACCAATTTTCGTTTCCCTGCCAGGAGCGTGGCCGAGTGGTTGTAGCGTTAAAATTTGGAGGTCGGCGAGTTCAAGTCCTGCTCTGATCACTAACTGGCATTTTTTCAAGGTACAGCAAGTTCAACGCCTCGGCCACGCTGGTAAATAGCCAATTGGTTTGCCTCCTGCAAGTTGGGGATTTTAACCTTGTTATGTTCAATTTGAATTATTTGCTTGTCCGCATTAGTCTTCGACTACAAACACCGACCAAGGGTAAATAAAGGTTGTTTATTCATTTTATTTTATTATCGATCTAGCTGAGCGGCCGAAATACGGCGTTGACCATTAGCAAAACCTAGTTATTGAACGGAGCGATTGATTTCAAACAGGAAGGGACAAACAGACTGGTGATATGCAAATTTCAGGCGTGCTGTTCCAACCGGGAAAATTTGTCCGCAACTTTGAACTATCTGAACAAATGTTCAAGAAAGATTTCCGGTTGTTATTGTTTGTAGTGCTATTTTTTCTGTATGTCGAAGACAACCCAGTTCCAAGGCTTTTCTCTTGAACTTTGAAAGGGGCAGAAGAAGGGAAACGAGTTTGTAAATATAAGATGGAACTAAGAAACTCCACAATACGCTGAAAAAATTTGAAAACCGTGCGTATTTCTACGGTTAAGCCAACCTTCCACACCAATCTGTCACGAAAACGTGGCTTCTCGAAAACGCTCTTCAAACCAGAGGAATTTGAAAACGCCTACTTTGCGTTTTTGTGTGGAAGGAAAACAATTTGAAAACAGAGCTTTTCGAAATCGATGACGTAGCGATAATCATGTGATTTCCCTGCGTGAGTTTTCCTCAAAAACACATCCAATATGGCCGGTGATTATTGCGTTTTGAAATTTCTCCGGCGTAGTGCGGACGGAGCTTGAGGTGTACAGTTTTTTCGCGCCTTTTCCCTCGACTTCAAAACGAGGCCTTAGCTAAACACTTTTCATTAGCAACGATTTCCACCTTCGCGCTTGTTGAGCAGGATTGGAATTTTCGCGCCAAAAAACAATACACATATGTGTACAAGACAAATGCGTTACACATAAAGACCGTAAATTAAGAAAAAAATTGCAGTGGCGTAAAAAGTTCTTTTGATATCGTAGCCGCTATAATTAAGTGTTGTTTCAATTAAAAATATCGATGCGAGAAAAATCACTACTGAGTTTTTGGTGCTTGGTCTCAGATTTGTGTTTGACGCATTTAAGGGTGATATGCTTGTATTTGTGTACGCTTAACTTATTTCATATCTTGGCTTCAGATGTCATCAGTGAGTTATCAATTTTTTTTAGCTTAATGTTTCGCTCTCAGACTAAACTGTTGCAATTGTAAAAAAATGTGCATATTATTTCGCCTTTTTTAAGGGCTAGTTATCTAAACAAAATCGGCGCTTGGGTTATTTTCATGTTAAATAATCTGATTATTCTAAAACTTACGATGCTGTTCTAAGTTCATTGTTAGGATTACCTCGTTCAATTGAAATCACAGCCAAAACAGTTATTTTCACCGGAATTGAAAGAACCTAAAACAACACGTGTTGTGCATAACATAGGGCGTCCAGTCAGCCAAAGAGTTCAATTACCAGACAAGACTAAACTTCATGCATTGAAAATCTTTGTTGATAAACCACTAAGCTTAAACGCAAAGCTTAAACTCAGTCAAAGCTCATCATACGAAAGCACTTTCACAAAATCCGGCAATCGACACCATGTTAAGCCAAATCCACAAGAGAAAAAGAAACCTCACATCAAACTATGTTTAGTCTTTCAAAGACCTGAAATCAAAAAGCACTTATCGCATAACTTTCTAAGGGGTGAAGAATGAGAATCGGAAAAAGCTCTTGGCACAACCAATCAGTTTCAACGGACCAGACTTATAACACAATCGACTTAATTGTGACGTACACTCATGGTGTCGAAACGTCAGTCACTAGCAATTCTTTTCAGAACTACACTCACGCAGATCACTTTCTTGGCACCTCTTCACCAGACTCCACCCCGCCGGATCGCTCCGCTCTTCGCCGCGTGTGACTCAAAGGTGAGCCTGCTCACACTATTGCCATCTGCATATAGTACTCGTGCCCCTCCCCCTTTGTTTTCTTTTGTCGGTTAAGAAAACGCAAAATGTGAAAAATGTAAATGTAAACCGATTTAAGTGAACGGTAAACTCGAAACTTTCTTGATGCACCTGTTAAGGTTGTTTACAAGACTAATATATTTCGCTGTAGACCTCAGTTACTTATTTTCAAAGTCATGTACCTCAAACTGGAGTCTGTCAATAATTTCAAAATTTATCAAGAAAGTATTTTATATTTTACTCAGTTGCTCCTGAAAATAAACTATACCCAACTTGATCAGTGCAAATACAGTCTTTCTTTTTTTATAAGAGCATATTTTTAAGAATATCGAGGCTTAAATTTGCGAAATCTTAAAAATACTTTAAGAATAAGCCCGAGGTTCACATCTTGAAAACAATATAAAACATTTGTAATACAATACAATTGTATGTTTTTAATTAAACCGTACAAAATTCTTCCTTTCTCTAAACAGCGAAACTGGCAAAAAAGCAAAGAAAAAAAAACGGACTAGCCGTATTTCCGATGCTAATAACATTTCTGCAAGAAGTTATGTGCGCGATGTCAGGCTATAATGCTTGCAGGCTGGCTCCAAAATTACTTTAACACCATCCAGACACCAAATACATTCGAAAACAGAAATGTCATACGCTATAATCACAAGAATATTTTCAGCTTTACTGCTGGCAGTAGAAAAATAAGAATATTCAGCCTAGGTCGGTAAAGCAACACTCTTAATTGTAAATAAAAAAGAGTGTACCAGGCTTAATTTCAACATGACAAACTGTTCACTATATCTCGGGCGGTGTTGTACACATTTCTCCAGATTGTCTATTTGGAGACGCGTGGAGAGACACTCCATCAAAACTATTTCAGGATGTGAGCGTAAATAAAGCCCATTCCTTTTAAATCCTTTGGAGAAAAAAGTTACCAAATGGTAAATAGTTCATTGTTTACGACATCCCTTGCCACGAATTTCGAATTGATTAGTCCATATTAGAAGCTGTAGATAATACTCAGATAAAACGTACTTTTTGTTGTTGATTTACTTACGCTGATTTACTTACTCGTAAAGCGACATCAAGAAATTCCGGTCGGGCACGCTTGAAACCGTGGTCACAAATTGAATTAGGCTATCGTGATAATAGCATGATAAAAATAATCATTAGCAGTTAAAGATGAGTGAAACAATCAACAACATCCGTCTCTTAAAAGGTTGTCTGTGAAACAAGTGAAAATTTAAGACGCAAGATAAGAGAAACTTTTACTTAAACCACGAGTCGCCCGTCTCGATGTCGCCGCAGGCGGAGCTAAAAGTGGCAGGCATTTGAAGTACAAGTCATGTTTTTTAATAAGTGTACACATATCCATAGTCTTCCTTACCCCCCGGGGGTGGGAGGGCACTCACAGAAAAATTTGCTGGGGATGCGCGGCCCGCTTCCCAAAACCCTTACCCTACTTATGACCAAAAATCTGCAAATTTTCCATACCCTATTTATGACCGGACCAAAAATTTCATACCCTATTTATAACCGTTGCGGCTGATACAGATGCCCTAAAAATAATAAGTTTGAAGGGCTTTTGTCAATGGTATTATCGATAATGATGAAAAAGTAGCTTCTTCTGAACAACGTACGTACCCAATTCAGGACTAGAGTACAAGAACCATAAACAACTTTTATTTACCCTCACAAGTGCTAGTGGGGCCGAGCAAACAATTGAAACAAATAATTCAAATTGAACATAACATTATTAAGAATGCCAACTGGTCGGAGGCAAACCATTTGGCCATACCCTATTTAACACCAAAATGGCCAAAATCGGTACCCTATTTATGACCAAAAACGGCCAAAAAAAACCCCAAACCCTTTGGGGCCGCACATACCTATATAGCCCATATAAGGGAGTACCTCCACCCCCTCCCCCCGGGTCCTTACCAGCGCTTTAAAACTGTTATCTAAACCTAGCTTGAAGACTATAAATGGCAAAAGTGACTTAAAACATGGCCTTAAAAGGTTAGGATATTGACATAATGAGATAGTGACATCCGATGCAGATATTAATTCCAATTTTAAGACCTGAGGTTTGGCGAGAGCAATATCGTAGAAAACCACTTTCTCACTCATCGGAAGTTAATTCGAGTTCAATACCGGTTTCCTCTGAGCCTTAGACTCTGGCTCTCACTAAAACTTAATGCATGTGTCCCGGGTGAAAAACGAACACGCGAAATTAAAGTCGTCGTCTGTAATGACTTGAATAATTTTGACTGAGAAGAAGGATAAGGCAGGGAGAACAGTCTAACAAAGAGATAGGATTGGATAAGAGGTAGGTACAGGGCTATCGCCACTCAATGAAGAAAAAAAGCTCTGAGAGTAAAGTTAAGAAATGCAGTAGGCTGTTTTTTTTTGTTGTTGTTTTTTTTTGTTTGTTAAATGGGGAGGTTTTACTTAATGCGACGCATCGAAAATTTAACGTTGGGAGTAGTAGGAACTGTTCAAGCATGTAAAAAATTTTGAATTTATGCATTTCAATTTTTTCGAGTTATGAAGATTAAAGACAACGTGAGTGCTGCGCTTATTTTGGTCTATTTGACATGTCCGTGAACTTCGTAAAGCCTGTTAGATTTAAGTTCTCAAAATACTTTTGGAGTTTTAGTGCGAATGCGTGAAAGCCTGTCAAAGCCATGGCCACCCCCGCCGCCATGTGCTTTTTGCTGAATAATTTTTCTCACCTCAGCTGCTGCACACATGAAATCGAATGGAGTCGCCGTGCAGTGCATTCCGACAAAATCTCGATTTTGCATAGATTTCTTATATATTCTGGTTGTAACTGGTAAACTTATAATTAGTAAACTACTTTTTTCATATTTCCTTAAGTTCAATTTAAAGGTAATTTTGTGCATGGCCAAACTTACTCGAAATACCATGACTGCGCTCCTCTAACCTGGTGTCACTTTCATTTCTATGCAAATCAAGCTTGTTTTTATATTCAGCTCTTATTCACCGAGCAGGAGGTCTGTATGGGAAAACCTTGAACGAGGTCGTGAGTACAGTCTAGTCTGTACACACGACCGAGGTCAAGATTCTGCCATACAGACCACCTAAGCTCGGTTAATAAGATGTTTATTATATGGCAAACAAGAAAAAGTCAATTCTTTTAATGTAGCTGGTTTGTAGTAGCTGACATTTTGCTTACTAACGGCGATGAGCTGAACTTAAACTGCCAAAATTTGCTCGTCTTCTTTAATTTTTCCCAATCAAGCCTTTTGGCACTTCGAAAAATGGAGAAGAAACGAGCAACTGTTTTTGCATTTTAGTTTGCAACTTTTTCACCGCAAAATGTAACCGGTCTAGATGGGAAAATCTACACCGCGGTCAAAATCGATTTCAGGCAATCAAATTCGTGAATTCAGTAGTTCGCATTCCTTGTGAGACACAGCTATTTAATAATGTAATGTAATGGCTCTGCACTAACGCTCGTTTTGAAACAGAATAGAAAGGCGTCTGGTAAATCAGTTGCTAAAATTGGCTATTTTCACGTGCCATCGAAAAGTCCATTCCCGATCCATAATCCCTCGTCGCTAGTCCAGGTTTTTACCCGATTGCTTATTGCTTTCCGATTGCTTACCCCCTCCCCTCAAACCCCTCTTAACCCCAAGGAATTTTTTTATGCTTCAAACGAATAGAACCCCGAAATTCCCTGAATTTCTATTAAGGCTAGACTTACAACATCCGGTAGATTTTTTTTGATCTCATCGCGTGTTTGCTAAATGTGTGATGTTGTAGGGAGATATCAGATATTGGTCAGTAAGAAAGAAAAGAAAACAGCCCCCAAAAACTCACCAATAGGAACACTGAAAACTGAGTTAATTTAGATCTCTTGAGCAGGTAATTTCCAGCCTTTCCAGAACAATACCTCTCGAGTGAACAGGCCATGGAAAAAATATTACATTCAGTAACGCGTTGATTGAGAATGAATTCTTTTTCGCGCGTTTTAACCTGCTGTACACATGGGCCTAATACGATAGAAAACGCTCACCATGATCATAATGGAAAACGCATACATTAGAAAATGCTGCTCAGGGTAGAGAAATTTGTAAACGGAGGCTTATCATGTTAGTGCGGATCCGGAGGCAAAACAAGCGGAGGCTTTCGAAACCTTCGACGTTATGCCAGCATTCCCGAGCATTTTAATTAATGAGGACGTGTAAAACGCTGCGCAAACGGCAGTGTCGAAGCCAATCTTTTGAAAAGTATTTTTTTTCTTTCTTTCTTTCTTTTTTTTTTTGGCACTAAAACAAATCGTAGAGTGTGAAGGGGCCCTTAAAAAGTCGGCAGCTGTACCGGTAATGAAAAGTAACATCCGTACAAAGGATTTAGTACACAATGGAAATCTTTTAACACGTTTGTTTTTTCCATGACTAATTACTCTTCGCTTTCAGTATTTGAAAGAAATGCCTCTCGTCAGGCTAGTAAACGTGCTGCTAGCAATTTGAAACTGAGAATTACTAAGACGTCTTATCTCCAAGCTTAAGCAGCGAAGCGGTGTAATGGACTTGCTCGTTTAGAGGCTATTTATATGGTAATCACGAATTCAAAACCCTTTCGAACACATTAATCACAGGGCAATTGAAAAATTCATCTTATGAGACCGCCTCTCCCAAGTTAGAAAACAAAAATTACACGAGAAAATAAACCTGGATTTGCATACTTAAGACACAAATCGACGCAGTACACGGAGCTGTTTGCAGCGTGCTGCTCGACTCGAGGTCAATACAATAGACAGTGAGCTGATAGTTCGGGCGATATGAATCTAACAACAAGAAAGGCAAGCGTTTCCTATTTGTCCAAGTGTTGCCTCGCCACAAACGAAGCTGACCGCTTTTAGTGAAAGGTAGGAACACAGCAAAGGCGTAAAAACTCATGCAAAACTTGTTTCCGACCGCAAAATTTCAACCAAACGTGGTCGCTCAATTGGCTCTTTATGCCTAAGATATCAGTGATTCGAGTACTACATGATAGCGCTGTTGTACAGTACTGTTCTGCAATTCAGAAATTTTTATTTCAGTAACTTAAATGTTCTCTTCAATTTCACACTTGATTTTCCGTCAACTTTGTTCTCCTGTACAAGAAGTGCTTTTAAAATTTGTCGTTCTAGGAAACGTTCGTTTTTAAAGGGAAAAAGTGTGGTCTCTAACAATTCTAATTTAAGCAGTAACAGCATTGACAATGATTTTCCTTGCGTACTCGTTCCCCAATTGAAAACAAAGTCGTTGTTGCTAAAACAGAGCTTATGTTTTTTTCACCTTAGATTCAAATCATGTTATGTAAACCTCATTGTATTTTGAACGGTGTCCGCGTTAACAAAAGCAACTCAATTAGCATTTCGTCCTTTGGGAAAAAGAGTTGAATGATATGTTTCCAAAATGCTTTGCTTTCCTTTTAGTCGCGATTTGCGCTAATTACGCCGCGCGAAATGTCTTCCGCGCACGTGATCAATATAATCTAATGCTCCAGTTGGCAGGGTTGATGAATTGCCACTCAGTTCTACGTAATATTCCAAGTCCCTCAAAGATTGGCTGCCACTTGAACGATCCTTAACCTGAATTATCTCGTCTCGAAATTTATTGGAGACTTCAGAATGTTATACAATTCTCGACTTGCCATAAATCAATTGCAAACTCTTAAAGCTTCTTAAGGCTCGCCCGAAATCAGTGCATGACCAGAGGATCGGAGGGGAGGGGAGGGAAGGGGAGGGGAAATAATTGCGTTTTGATTGGTTTAAACAGAGGGCATCTTTCTTTAAGTTTCGTTCTTTCAATAACCTCACCAGTAGGTCTCAATGCAAAATTGACTCGGGCAATTTCAACGATCTTAAAGGATGGCCCGAATAACATCTCATGCCTTTACTCTATGTTTGCAACATTGCCAGTGTTTTTTTGAGAAGTTGCAAATTGCACTCGTCGCTGCTTTACTCGAGTAATTTCTGCACGTTTCCCAAAATATGCATGATACTTAGTTCTCATGTTTTTTCTTTCTCTACCTACACAAATTTCCGCTCGAAAGTATTGGGGCCGATTTGGACAGTACGGGTTGTCTCGTCTACAACTTGGTGAGGATAAAGGTAGAAAAAGTGTACTTACATACCTAAAAAATTAAAATAAATAAAAAGTTGCGTAAAAGAAATACACCAGTGTGTTCAAGACAAATTTGGAGATCAAATGCTTTATCAAACAGCGTTTGGAGTCCTTTCGCGAAGGTTTCAACTTGAGCGCAGAGTCTAACGAGATTCCAAAGTTTGACGATTCTTCAGAAAAATGTTTTTTTTTTAATTCCAGTTGCGTTTTTGTGAAGACTTAAAAGAGGAATCTGTAATTTGCGAGTTTTTCGTTGTGCGTTTTGAGATGCTAGTTCTATGGGTATTTTATAAATCAGTTTGCTCGTGGGAAAATTCAGTTATGGCATACGTAATACCACTCAGAAATATTTCACAGAAACAGGGCTCCTGACAGAAAGTACTGCGAACTTCGCTGAATCTCGGCGAACTACCACCACCCATAATACCTTTCGGCCTTTTATTGTACGCTTCCGTACGACAAGCGACCGCTGACATTAGCTGTGATAAACAATGTGACAAAACCTGTTCGCACGCAAACGTGAACGCAAACATATCAATTTACAAACATGTTTTTCCTTTCTGTCTGAAGACCTTTATTTTGTTTGGAAATGAACATTAAATTACCCAAATTATACCGCAGTTGTTATGACGAAGAGAAGGAAATAATTTGACCTACCTCACAGAAAAAAGTAGATATGCCGTCGCATTTGTTGTGTTTGGTTGGAATTATAATTTGTTTTGGGTTATTTAATCTCTTGTATTCCGTACAAAGGGCCACCGGCCACTAAAACTTATTCCGGCAAAAGAATATTTCGGGTCACTTAATTTAATTTCTTACCCTGCGAATACAATTGGGTTTTTACCGCGCATCCTCCCGTTGATTCATGGCAACCCGAAAATCCATCAGTTGGGTCGGTTTTTGCGAACGCCTGATATTTTTTTCGACAGGAAATTACAAGCTGAAACAACCGAACCAGTGGCTGCATTCACAGCTGACTAACTGTGTGAATCCGAGAAAATGATTTCTGATACATTTCACCCCGTCGTTACCAGCTTATGATACTTAACAAATTAACACTTGAATATTACGCCCCCAAATTAATGAATTTTCAATTACGAATCGTTGGAGACAGATTCAGCCAATTTTTTGTTTAACTTTACTGTTGGGAGCGCTCTCTGCCTCCGTGGAGAGAGTGCAAACGTTTCCT